GCCTGTGCTCCTGAGAGCTGCAGCCCCTCCTCTATCGCCATCCTGTCTGGATTTGAGGCACAGACACACAGGTGCCCATTGTGTTTTCAAGCCCTTGGACCAGGATTCGAACCAGGATTGGCCATGTAGGGTCCAGCTCCCTTGAGCACTGTGCCCAGGGCTGGCCCCAGAGCAGCTTCTTTGTACAGGCTGTTATCCTTGCAGCAGTCCTGCTCCTTCCCAGGCCCTCTGGTAGTTCATCCTGGGGACCACCTTTGCACATCTAGTGAGAGCCGTGCGTCTCCACCAGGGCTGGCAGATGGTGTAGTGGTTAAGGTGCTGGACTCCCACATGACTGACCATGGTTGGAGTCCCAGGCCTGGTGGCTTGCTTTCCCACTCATTATCTCTGGTCAAACTAAATAAGAAGAAATAAAATTAAATAATTCTTCAAATAAATAAATAAACGTGGGCTTACGTTAGAAAGGCTGAGGCAGACTGCCCGGCCTGTGGATCTGCAGCGCCTTGCTGGATTCAGCTCTCAGCCGAGCCAGACCCTCTCTCCTCACCAAGGCTGGAGCAATGCTCTCCGCACCATGATGTCCAGCGCTGCTGAGTCGCACACAGCTGAGGCACACTGATGGCATCTGGGAATGAGATCTGGGAGTTTACTGAACCCCCTTGGATAAAACCACCTCACAGGGCATGGGTCACAGTTGTGGCGCCTTGAGGCTTTATGAACTGGGAGGTCATTTGTGACGAAGACACTTCCTCTCCTGTGGTTTTGGTGTTTCACATTTGAGCCAGGGTTGGCAAGCTTTCTGGAAAAGACCAGATAGTGAACAGCGTTGGCTTCGCAGGGCACCTGGTGTCACAACTGCCTGGCTTTGCTGCGGTGGCCACAGTGGACCCTCCAGCACCTGAGTGAGGCGTGGGCTGAATTGACATCACTCATCACAGGCCTTGTGCTGGAGCCTCTAGCCCACAGGCTGGAGCAGTCTGGTCAGCGGATAGGTGCTCTGGGGCCGTGGAGCCAGCACTCTGCCCTCCCTGAAGACCGCTGTGGACACATCAGATCTCACAGCTGCGCCTCCGCCCTCAGTGCCAGTGGACTTGCGCACCATCTGCGGTCCCAGTGCAGTCACCAGGCTCCATCCCATAGAACTCGGCCAGCAGAAGGTCCTGCCCGTGTACCTTACTGCAGTGGCCGCTGGCTTAAGTGCTGAAGGAGTGGGTCTTCATTTCATTCTGATTTTCACAGCTGCACATGAGTGGCGTCAGCTACGGCAGAAGACAGTTCTCACCATTCTCCTCCACTTGGCGTGGTACAGTCAGAAACTCCGGCGGCTGGATGTGAGGTGCAGGGGCTGCTGGTGTCATGACCTTCCTGTTAGAAGAGCCTTCGGGAGTGTTTGTTGTGACGGGGACAGAACAGTCCCCAGGTTCTGTGTCCTGCCGTGAGAGCAGCAGGCACTGGTGCGCGGCTCACCTGCCGGCTGAGCGAGGCTGAGCCTGCGTCCCAGCACGGTGGGCCTGAAGCACTGTCTGGGGTAGGTCTCTGCTCATGTTCCCAAGGGGTCTGAGGCAGCCACGTGGGCGTTCGCAGTAAATGCTCTCACATTGGGTAGATGTCTGGAGAGGGAAAAGCCTGCAGATGCAAAGCCCTGTGACGCCCACACCTGTGTGACTGGCCCTCCAGTGGAGAGGAGTGCTGCTGGGCCCTTAGCGACCCTTCCAAACTCATTTCTGCACGTTTGCGGTGGGCGGGAAGGGGAGGGTGGGACTGTGTGGGCTCCTGTTCACGGAAGGGCTTCTGTCAGCCCCTCCTCAGAAGGTGGGCGGGCAGGGTTCATAGCAGAAATTCCCCGGGCCTGGCCTTGGTTCCCCCCTGCCCCTCACCCGGGGATGCCAGCTGGAGGAGGCTCTCCAGCCCCTGCCCTGGGGCAACACCGCACCCTCTCCCCTTCTGTGAGACGGCAGAGGAGGGCTCCATCTCGGCACTGGGCAGACTCGGCGGGGAGCCATCCCACAGCCCTGGCCGGTGAGGTCTATGGGAAGCCCAAAGTAGACCAGAACCTGTCCTGGGCCTCCGGACACTGCCCTTCACCTTTCCGTGTTCCAGGTCCGCTGCTCAGCCCTCCCAGGTGGAAAGATGGGAACTGTTCCCTAGTTCCGTGACATGCCAACAGCTTACCAAGCTTATGTGCCGAAGGCAGACCCCTGGCCTGCTTCTGACCCCAGGCTCCTGCCAACCCCTCCTGGGCTGCCTATCAGATGGCCCCACAGGTTGGCGAAGAGATGGTCCCTGAGCATGGAGAAGCGGATTGACCGCAGGGTAGAGGGTGCAGGAGGAGGAGACCGGGACCCCCAAGTCCTGTAGCTCGGGCCTGGGAGAGCAGCACCACACCTGCCGCAGCATGAGGTGGACACGCGGGGCAGCACCGACAGTGGTTTGGGCCGTGTTGTCTAAGGGGCGACTGTAGAGGCCCTGAGCTGTTCAGCCTTGGAGTGCTTGGCCAAGGAGCAGCCATTTGTCCTCCTTCCCCCATGCGGCCTCTAGAGCATGGTCCTGTGCAGCTGGAACAGCCAGGACTCCAAGTGATCCCTCCACTTCAAGAATTGGCAAGTGACACGTTCCCAACACTCAGCACTCAACCCAGAAGGCCGGCACTGATGGGTGGGGTCAAGGAAGGACACTGACCAGAGCAGGGAGGAAGCTCACCGTCATGACGTGGACCTGGCTGCTGCTGGCACAACAGGAGAGTTCCCCGGGACAGGAGGGCCCGGCACCCCAGCAAGCCCTGGCCGGCAGAGCCCATGGACCTGCAGCCTTGCATTCCTCCAGGGGATGCTGTGAGCCGAGGGTGTCAGGCTGTCACCGCCGCAACACCCGTGTCTGGACCACCGGGAAATCAGGCAAGGCCAGCAAATTGCTTGGTGTGCTCGGAGCTGGGTCAGAGGACTGGAGCTGGACTGCAGGAGTGTCGGGGCCAAGCCGTGCCAGCCCACGACAGCCCGGCAGCCTCTGCAGGGCCATGCCCCAAGACAGGGCTCCCTGTAGCCTCGGAGGCTGGGGGCTCCAGCCCCCTTATTTGCAACTGCAGCCTTGCTGTAAGATACAGCCCTAACTGGTGACCATCCACCCTGACCACCTGGGGCTCCCGTCTCCTGTGTTGCCATGGCACGTCCGGGTTGTAGTTTATTACAGTGAAGTTATTTGCTTGGCAGGGTTTCCCGGGGCTGGATACTTCGTGTGTGTCAGAAACTGTACCATGCAGTCCTAAAACGTGCATAACACGGGTCCCTGGACATGGACACTGGGGCTTCCGCTCCCACGGGTAGTGCCAGCTGTGATGGCGCTCCTTCCAGTTTTCTGCGGCCCCTCGTGGGGGTGGCACGGGGCAGGCACCGGGGGACTCCATCAGAGCCGTCTTCCAGGAGCTCATCCCGCCCCCTTCCCTGGTTGGTGTGACTTGACCTGCCCCCCTCTCACATCAGATGTTGGACAGTGGCTGTGACCTGACTAAGGCTTCCAGGAACCTCTTGGCCTGGAAGGCAACCTGATCAGAGACCCACCGCTGCCTCCAGGCCTCCAGCTCTGCACACATGCACACGCACTCGCGCACCCTGCACACATGCACACGCACTCGCGCACCCCTGCACACATGCACACGCACTCGCGCACCCCTGCACACATGCACACGCACTCGTGCACACCGCACGCACTGCTGCTGGCCTCCACACCCTTGCTCTTTGGTGCTGGGGTCTTGGGCAATGGAACTGCTGACCTGCCGTCAGTCCTTGGTCTCTGCACCGTAGGGTGGGCTGTACTGCCCTCCTGAGGCTGGTGCCAGCATTACAGTGCCCGAGCCACACTAGTAGAGGCCATGCACTTCATGTGCCCACAGCTCCTGTTTTTCTCTTCCCCCGATCCGTCCTGCATTTCTCTTTTCCCTTCTCTGCAATTCATTTCAACTGAAAAGATGGTGGAGTAATAGCACATTTTGCAAAGTTAAAACATCCCCTAGTTGTGACCCTGGGTTTTCCTTCACCCTCTCCCCATTCCTGACCTGGTCCCAGAGCATCCATCCCTTAGTCAGGCTGTGGCTGTGAAGGATCTTTACAGAATGAACCCACTGGGGAGCCCAGCTAGATTTCATCTCCCGTAAACCCCTGTCCCCCCAGGCCCCGGGACTGCTCAGCTGGAGTGCGTGAGGATAGGGCTGAGATGGGGGCTGGGGTTCCGGGGAGCAGTGAGTGGTCGAGTTAGCACCGGCTCTCTGGCCCGAGGCTCGCAGTTGGCTTCCCATGACCCACTGCAGAGTTTGGACACGTCTGAGGGTGGCGTGTCCTAGGCAGGGCCAGCTGGCGAGATCAGCTGACCCTGTTTCCACCCACACCCATCAGCCGGAAGAGGACGGCCGGATTCCTTCCAGGAGGGGAGGACGTCATTGCAGGATGAGGGCCTGCCCTGGAGAGGGAGGGCAGGATGAGAGGAGGTGGTGCCCTTCCAGCCGCCAGGCCATGGGGGCGGGAAGAGGGAGCCACTCAGAACCTCTGGGTTTGGGGGTCCCTGGGGGATGTGTCCGAGAAAGAAGGCTGTGGGGTGAGGAGTTGAGGATGGAGGTCGAGAGCTGATATGCAGAGTGGGCGGTGAGGGACCTGCAGCCCTGGGAGGGGCTGAGGGGACCCGGGCAGGAGGGACAGACAGGAAGGTGCCGCATCTGTGCCATCTAGCCCTGAAACTCCTGTGACTCATTGGATGTGGACACCAGGGCTTCCGGCCCCACGGCCACCCAGGTGAGGGCGGGACCAGGAGCCAGTGTGAGCGCACAGGTGAGGGGCTGGGTAACCGGACAGGTTAGGAGGTGGGAGGAGCCCGAAGTGACAGGGTGAGCCGAGGCCAGGTGTCTGAGGTGGCAGAAGAGGAGGGAAGGACCCACAAGGGCCACCCACGCACCTGTGAGCTGCTGGGGACCAGCCCGCCCTCGCCGCCCCGCAGGCAGGATGCAGACGCGGTGCTGGCTGTGCGGTTGTGCATAGCCGTTTATTGCTCAGGGCTCACAGGCGGTAGTGGCGGAAGAGTTCATGTCGGCACACAGGGCAGGAGTGGCTCACGTCCATCAGGGTGGTCATGCAGAAGGGGAAGAGGCAGCAGCCCAGTACACACCTGCGGCGTGGTGCGGAGGGTGAGCCAGCACCGCCTCGGCCCCAGCCGAGGTGGCATAAAGCCTGAACCCTCTTGTCCTTGGTCACCAGGAGGATGCCACCATGAGGCCGCCTGAGCCAGCAACTGTGCGGTCAACGCCCACCCACCTATCCCATCAGTCAGCAAGTGGCCAGCTCCCCGAGTGGGACACCCTGCAGGCTTCCCTGGGGAGGTATCTCTGCCCTCGTCCTGTGCAGTCTTCTCCAATATTCCCCCTAGGCCAGTCCCCCAGCCCAGCAGGGACTCCCCAGGGTGGCCAGGCCCCTGCAGTGGCAGTGCTCACCCGAACACGAAGAGGGTGGTACACAGCAGCCAGGTGAGGGCGCCCGGGATTGGGGTGGTCACCGTGAGGATGCAGTTCCCGCAGTAGGGACAGATGACCTGCATGGGCACGGAGGTCGCCACCCTGGGCATGTCTGGGGAGAGGCATGAGGGTCAGACCCCTGTGGCTTCTCTGCGGGTGCCATCTAACGGCCATCTGGCCTGGCCCCCACGGCCACCACCCTGTCTGTGAACCTTGGCCTCCCTTGGTCCAGTGCCTGTGGCCAAGACGCACATGATGGGGTGAGTGAGTCTGAGCCAGTCTCTGGGTCCACAGCCCCTTCCCCGAGGTACTCATGCTGTTCTCTGGCCAGTCGGTTCCCACCCCTGTGCTGCGGAAGGCCTCCACACCTTGGGAAAAAGGCACAGGTCATGCAAAAAAGCAGACCTTCCCATTGGCTGTCCTGTCTTTCCTTAACACGACAGACTTGCCGTTGCACAGCGGGACCAAAAGAGTATGTTATCTGAGAACTGCAGCCCCGTCTGCGTTCCGGGTGGGGACTGAGCGTCCTTCCGACACGCTTGTGTATCCCAGACCAAAGGCTTGGGCTTGGGCTGGACAAACCATCTCAGGATGGAGGGGCTTGCGACCACCACAGGCTTTGGCTTCCTTTCAGGCAGGGGTGAGGGCATGCAGGGGTCTGGGGAGCAGGTGCCCTGGTGTGTGAGGGTACATTTGATTTGGCAGGAAAGGAAGGAAAGAGGTGTGTGTGGCTGGGAGTGGGGTGCCCTGCAGGCTCCCCCAGGGAGGCATCTTCCCTGGAGGATTCAAAGTCCAGCCTCCAGAGATGAAGTCGGTAGGAGATCTCGAAGCCCAGGTCACCACCACCTGGGACTCTGCATTCCCCAACTCTGTGAGTGGGTTGGGCTTCGCGGAGTGAAAACGGGAGCTTGCTGCATAACCCCCGTCCAGCCCCCGCGCAGGAAAGGCTGCTCCAGCCCAACCAAGCCCAGCCCAACTCAGCCCACCGGGGTCTCAGGAAGGAGGAGCTGCTTCAGGGCTCCAGGCAAGACAGTGTGGCTGGAGCGTGGGGAGGGGGCAGGGGAGCAGGGCTTTCCAGAGGAGCTACAGCTGGGGTGACTCCTGTGCTCAGAACAGAGCCTGGGGAAGCCCAGGCTGGAGAGGGGAGAGGGGCGGGCAGGGCACTCACCTGTGTGGGCCACCGGCATGCTTTGGTGGTACCCAGGCTGAGGCACCTGAGTTTCCCGGGGAAGGGGAGGAGGGACAGAGGAGTAGGGAGGAGGCGGCTCTGTGGGAGAAAGGAAGAAAGCCCCCTCAGGTCAGGGCTCCCCGTGTGGCAGGCCTAGGGGACTGTGGTGCCGTGGTGGTGGTGTTGGGGGGGTGTAGCTAGCAGGTGGAGGACCTGGGATCCAGGCGTTTCCTTCCCCACCTGTGCCCTCGCCACCTCGGAAGTGCCAGGAAGTTCAGGATGTGGAAACAGGTGGGGCAGCTGGATCTTCTCTGAATACAGAGGGGCCACACCGTGCTGCAGGGGTATTGCAGCGGGACCCCTGCACTTCCCCCAGGACCCCGCACACGTGTGCGTGCCCCTGATCTGGGGTGGATGCATCATGAAGCCCTGCTGCAGGTCTGTCCTCTCAGAAGCAAACAAATCTTCATATCGAGCATCTATCACTTGTTATGCCCTGTCTAAACTCCGCACACACTTCTCCACGTTGACTCTTAAGAGACCGGAGAAGCAGGTGTGTGCTAATCCAACTTTGCAGGTGTGGAGACAAGGCTTGGAGAGGTTGCCCTGCCTCAGGTCACACCGGGGTCAGCATCTGTCCAAGGACGGCACCAAAGTCTGACCCCCTCCACTGCCCAAGCTGTACCGTAAGCCTTCGCCCCCAGCCAGGGTGGCTCCCCTGGGGTGCGACCATCTGGAGGGGACTCTGGCCTTGCTCTCACCTCGTCCTTCCCAGCCATGGCTGCCTCTGGAGCACATCCAGCCCCACCCCTCGTCTAGCCCTCGGGCCTCTCCAGAGTGCCTGTGCAGACCCAGGGGAGACCCAGAGTGTGGGCCAGGAGAGGGGAGCACAGCACCCCATAATCGTAACCATGAGTGAGCGATGGGGATCCCTGTGGGTCCCCACCGAGGACCATGCAGGCACCCTGCACAGGCACCTGGGCTTCGCCCAGAGCCCCCTGCCCCTCCCAGGAGGGAACAGAACCTGGTGCTGGAGGGGCCACCGGGATCTGTCCAGCCAGCGCCCCCTCCAGAGTGGGGGCGAAGAGCAGGAAGCCCCCTCCCCACACAGCCCTGACTCGCAGGAAGAGGTCTTGGCCTGCCCGGCACCCAGCTCCCTGCTGGGCTGTCTTTCGTGCCCTTGTCCAGGTGGAGAACTGAAGGAGGAGACTGACTGGTCCGGCGCCCCAGGGCGTCCTTCTCACCTCGGGCTGGCCTGAGTGAGCAGCTGCCCGGGCTATGTCAGTCCTCTCTTAGAAACTAAAAAAGATTGTTTTTGTAATTTGCCAGAGTGCACACCCGCTCGCCAGAGAGAGGGGAGGAGAACACACACCCTCCCACCATGGGGCACGGTCAGGCTGCCTCCCCCCACTTCTCCGTCCTGTCAGGATCTGGGGCACACGCACAAGCCCTGGGCGGGTTTCAGCCCACTGAGGGCGGCCATGTGGGATCTGGCTCCCTCGACCCCCAGGCCATGCGGCCCAGTGCTCTTGGAACTCTTTCAACCACGCAGGGCCACACCGTCCTCCTGGTTAGGGAGCGGCAACTGTCCACAGGGCCAGGGCCCCACCCCAGGCAGTCCAGGCTTCTCCAGCCACATGGTGGGGGGAGGTCATACCTGATTCAGGGGTGTCCTTAGTCTTGTTCGGCGGATTCCTTGTGACATTTTTGAGAAAGGGAATGTGAAGTCGGAGGCCTCACCTGCCTGCTGTCCCTCTTAGGTCATGTCCCCAGGTCAGTGCGGGGCCAGTGGGACTTGGGGGGGAGGGCAGTGAGGACTGGGATCAGCCCCCAGCTTCACCCGGGGACCCATTCTTGACTTGCCCGGGCCCCCAGTGTTGACCTGCCTCTGGCCTGTCCCAGCCCCGGCACCTGATCGGGGACGCTCACCCTGGGGAGTGTTTCATCTTGGTTCTCTGGAGGGCTTTGGTCCTAGCAACGGTGTCCGGGCAGCGTGGGGTTCCGAGCTGCTGGAAGTGCTCTGCTGCTTCCGTTGAGGCACCCCCATAGTGAGGCCTGCTTGCCCGGTGGGGGAGAGGCGTGAGGGGGCTCCCCACTGCTCCCTGCCCTTCACCCCTTGCTGGGCCCAGCTGGGTGATGTTGACTGCAGTGGCAGAGGGAGTTAGCCTTGTCCCCATTTCCTACAGGACGAGGGGTCACGCCACGGGCTCCGCCCTGGGAAGCCTTGAGGACAGCACATCACAGTCCCACGGCCCATGCTGTGGTTGCCAAAGGCCAGGCTGGGGGAACTGACAGTTGATCAAGAGCCTGAAAAATGTGAGTCCTGTCAGAGCCGGCCGTTTTTCCATTTATGATCACACGAGAGGAGGGACGGAGCGAGGGAGAAGAGGCCTCCATGTGGTTCGGTCACACTGTGCCAGGAGCCAGGCTTGCGCACACACGGGCCTGGCGCGTTTTAGGGCTGACCGGGCTGACCCTCAGTCAGCACGTGGCTTCCTGCTCTGCAGTCTGGCTCCTGACCGCTGCGGAGGCTGGGCCTCGCTGTGCTTGGAAGAATTTATCCTGACAGAGGACGCGAAGGTCTGGCTGTGAGGTGCTCGGGCCCTTATTTACACATGCCCGTGCGTAGGTGCAGATGTCTGAACCCCTGCATGGCGTGTGGGCATCATGTCACTTTCCACAGTCCAACCTGCCACACCTGCTTATTTATTTATTAAGGTTTTTGCCACAGGGTGCACGTGCTCACCAGAGAGAGACAGGAGAGAGACAGAGAGAGGGAAAGTGAGAAATCACCACCCTCGCCCCCCTGGGGGATGGCCACCCTGCCGTCCCTTCTCCATTCTCTCGGGTTTTGGGGCACACATGCACACATACCTGGCAAGCCGCCAGTTCCGGGACTTGAATTGCAGTCAGCCATGTGGGAGTCCAGTGCACTTAACCATCAGCCACCTGCCGGCCCCCTGTTCGTTCATTCTTCTTTCTTTCTTCCTTCTTTTCTCTCTCTCTCTCTCTTCCTTTCTTTCTTCTTTCTCTGTCTCTTTTTCTTTCTTCCTTTCTTCTTTCTTTTTTTTTCCTTTCCTTTTGAAGGAGGCAGAGGCAGTTTTTACTTAGTTGAACAAACACCACACTCAAACTCATCTTCTGCCTCCTTCCCCCCCCTACACACCTCCCACCCAAGGTAGAGAAAGGGGACACCGGAGCAGCCCCCATGGCCTGGGAGGCCTCACTGCCCTCCCCATCCTGCCTGGCAGAGAAGTCTTATTACATGGTCTGAGATCATCATCCATGGAGGGGAGTATGAAGACCAGGTGTTCCCAAGGTCTCTTGGACTAAGTGGTTCTGCTCATGCCTTTCTGGGCCCACATGGACCTTGGTCCCTGCCCCACATGTGGGGGGGGTGTCACTGCTCCACCTCTCACCTTAGGAAGCTGCAGGGACCAGGCACACTCAGGTCAGGCCAGGCCAGCTTGATTCCGGAAGTCTGGAGTTGGCATTGAACTGTCTGGAGGGCCCAAGGCAGCTTCCTCTTGGGTAACTGGCTGCTGGAAAGGTTGTGGGCCACACCCGTGTGGGCCGCACCCGTGCTGGCATGGGAGAGGAGCCTCTCATCTGGCCCACCCCAGCCCAGCCTAAGGCGGGAGCCCATAGCGTACACCCACCACACCCTCCTGCAGACACAGAGCTCGCTCTGGTCTTGGCTGCAGACATCTCATTTAGCCCCTGAGGATAGGAGGAGGCTGCAAGTTCCAAGGAGGCTCGATTCCTGTTCC